TATCTCTTTACTGTTTTTTATTTCCAAATTAAATATCCTTGTCTTCAGACACAGCAAATGATAAGATTAGAAAATTTCATATTCTTCCATTTACTCTACCTACTACTATACACATAATAGCCTGCAGATAACAATATTATATCACTAATATAATTTCTGAGAAATTAAAAATTTTGTAGCAGATGTTTTCCCCATTATCTGCCCATTTAAAAAGTAGTTTTACTATTTCCATATACAAGAGCATATCACCGTTACATATTATATTTATTTCTACTCACCCTATTTACCTTAATTCTATAAGCAGATATGTATATATGCTATCATGATTTTTATATTGAGGTCTCTCTTGTCATTGTGGCTATTTGAATTTTATCTTAATTGATACCTCAGGAAGAGATTTAGAAAACAAAATATACCTTGGTCTTGGGTTTAAAATGATGAACAGTCAAGAACGTGGTGCATATTATCCTTTTGATCCCTTCCTGAGGTATCACTTAAAATAAATTTCAATAACCAATATGACTAGAGGGACATCAGTATAAGATTAGTAATAACATACACATGCAGTTACTTGTAGACCTAAGATAAATGCGTTTAGTAGGAATAAATATGCTATGTGGTGGCTGTATGTTATGGCATGTGACTATAGTATAACTAATGGCTTTTTTTACTGGACACATAATGGGAGAGAACATTTTGGGCCTTTATGTATTTTCCATTGCCTCATATGCATGTGAAAGTTAGACATTGACTAAGGAAGAAGGAAGAAGTGTCGATACATTTGAATTATGGTGCCATAGAAGAATATTCAAAGTCAATGGACTGCTAAAAGGACAAACAAGTCTTTCTTGGAAGAAGTATGGCCAGAGTGCTCCCTAGAGGCAAATTTGGCGAGACTACATCTTACATGCGTTTTACAAATTATCAGGAGAGATCAGTTCCTGGGTAAAGACATCATGCTTGGTATAGTGGAGGGGCAGCAAAATGAGGAAGGCCCTTAATGAGATGGATTGTCATTGACTGCAACAATGGGCTCAAGCATAGGAACAATTGTGAGGATGACACAGAGCCAGGCAGTGTTTCAGAACCACTAATAACAACAGAAATGTCTGAGAATCTATCTATCCCTCATCTTTCCGTTCGTTGTACTGTAGTGACTTGTGTGTTATTGTGGTGCTGGAATCTAGGCCACTAGTATTCCAAACAGAAGGGTCACCCCTGGTGAACTGGTTTCAGTAGCATTTGCAGACTACACAGAGTAGGAAGAAAGGCTTGCCAGTGAAAACATGCACAGCATTTTCAGATGCATTAATGGAAAATGAGCCCTTCAGGTTTGTAAGCACCCAAAATACAATTGGGAAGAGATGCTTCTTCAAAGTTGAATTGGCCTTAAAGGTATGGATAGAGTAAAGCTGACATTTGCTGATACGACAAAACTCAAAATGAGAAGATACAATTATAAGCATCAATTTATAATCAGAACGTGCAATATATAATGTATGAATGTAGTCAAATTGGATGTTTTAAATGATGAAATGCAATGCTTGGATATTCTATTCTAGCTGAGCTGAAATGGACTACTATTGGCTATTTAAATTGGACAATCATCTGACTTCTTATGTTGGCAATGAAGATGAGTAGTGCCAATATGATTAGAAAAATCATTTGAAGATCCTGAAATAGTACATTTCTGTGATTGAATAATACCTATGATCATTTAATGCGACTGCTATTCAAATTTAAACTTCAAACATTAATCTCAAAGATCAAGACATTTAAGATTTGTATTAACTTCTCCAATTGATCAGTCATGAATTTAAGATGCATTCATAACTATGGGTGATTGGAATGTGAAAGTTGAAACCAAAGAAAAAGGATCCATAATTGGAAAATATGGTTTTAGCAGTATAAACAATGCCTTCTAGAGATTGCATGATAGATTTTGCACATGCACAAAATAACCTGTTTATTGGAAATGTATTTTTTCAACAAAATATATGGTTACTGTGTTAGGGTTCTCTAGAGAAACAAAACCAGAATGCTAATAATTCTATATATATATAT